GAGCTATTTTTCAACTCTTTTAAGTTGTAGAAAACACCTAACAATGCAAGTGATTCTCGTCCTTAGAAATGCAAACCGTGTATAATGGAGAAGCGAGTAATTACTGCCTTGTGTACCTTGACCAGTTTTTCATTTTTTAAACAGATTCATTACCACGTTCCTTATGGCATATTTACGTTTTCTCTTTAACTCATAAAAACAAACAAACAAACAAATAAATTTAACAGACGTACATTTCATTTTTATGCAAGGGTCATAATCGTAGCTTTATAAATATCCTTTAGCAATATGCATAAAAAAGACACGTTTGAAAGTACCTTTTGGAGAAATGGGAGTCATCTGGTTGAGATGAAACACAAGGCTCTTGGAGGGGGTCGTGACAGAAGGAAGAGGCTGGAATCCCGTCAGAGTGTGGAACACTGGAAGAACCATGTGCCATCTAGTGAGAGAGAGAATGCAGGCAGCAGAAACAAGGTCACGGTGCAGCCCAGTCATCTTGGTTCGAATCCCTTTGACCATAAGATTGACCAACTCATCTAGCCACGCCGGGCCTCAGTTTCCTAAAGTGGGCAGCGCAGTTGAGCTTACTGCACAGGGGTGTTGTGAAGATTGAGTTAGTCAAATGTAAAACACTCAGGGCATTACCTAGTAAAGAATAAGTTTTCAGTGAATGTTAACTACTATATTATTGCTACGGTTCATGGTTCCTTACTTGAAAAACTTGGGACCAGTATTTCAGATAAACAACTTTCAAACTTCAGGATATTTTGGAGTTAGAAAGGTAAATGCATATACTGTATATTGCATTACACTCTCAACACAATCTGGGCAGTATCTTGTAATTCAATAGATAAGTATTTTTTCAGTAAAACATATGAATATTTATTCCAAGTGAGAGAAATACAGATGTAAATAGCCCTGCATCAATCCCAGTCAGATTTGCCTGCCAAATTGGTTTGTGCTGGGGCAGATTTGTCCATCAAATAAGTTGCCAAAAAAAAAAAAAAAGCCTTCAGTTTTCAAAGATATTTTTGTCTTTGAATTGAAACATAAAGTTCTTCAGAGCTTTTGGGATTTGGGAATTGCATATAATTGCTTCATTACTAAAGTAAAAAAAAAGAGAGTTAAGATTGAAATAGAATTTGGAACCCCTAAAAATTGTTCAGAAAGCAAGCTTTTGAATTTGTTCACCTCTCTACTTTTATAAAATTTAAAAGTTTTCCTTTTAAAATTTTTAAAGCAAGGGCAACAGATAGTGTATGAAGGAAAGTTTCTTGTTAAAGAGGTTCCAGCTAACGAAGCTGAATGACAAAATATCACCATTTTGCAAGCTGTAATAAAATAATGAATCTAGGCACTTATGAGCTTCTAGCATAACTTTTGGAAGACATAACTAAATATTTTGTATTTTCCTTGGAAGTAGTTAACCCACCTATGAAGTAGTTTTGTCAAAAGAATGTAAATTTGAGTCTGAGTCTGGGTCTGTTTGAAAATTTTCATAATAAAAAGGAAAAAAAAGATACACACAGTATAGATTACATTATGTTTCTCAATATAGAGCGCATTGGATCTCAGTTGAAAAACACTTTAATGCTTATAAACAGTATTTGAAAACTACTTATAAAGGATATTTCAAGGGGAAAATGATGGGAAAATAAAATTTATTGAAATGAAGATTTGGAAGTGTACAATTTAAAACCAAGTAAATAATTTAAGAAAAATATTTAGATGCTGGATGGAAGAGATGAAATTACCAAGAAGTTATAAGAGATAACAATAAATGATCTTGTTAACAAAGCTGACTTTGACCTAGGCTAATACTAGTTTAGGGGGTAAAAAGTAGTTCCCAGAATGAGTTAGTCTAAGAATTGTCTTTGCTTTTTTTTTTACTTTAAGAGTAAATGACAGATAGTAGGTTGACCTATCAAAGCCTCTTAAACATGTGACTGAAAATTATTTGAGTGATGTAGTTTCAATAATGCCAGCAGGTGGCGCATTTCTTAGCATTTTTTTTTCAAGCGAAGAAAAATTTGAGAACCAGCATGAATATACATATACATTTATATGAAATGCTGCCTTTTTATTCTTCATATTCTGCTTCTCTAAGGGAAAATAATTTATAAGAGTACAAGTAGAATAACCTTTGTTTTGCTACTTCCTTTCCACCTGAAAGCTCGAATTTTGTATTAAATTGCTAAATAATTTTGTATTAAATTGCTCAATAATTTCACTATTTCTATAGTAAAATATACATGATTAAAATCTCAAACTTCACACAGCGGGATGTCTCGAGACATGGTAAGAGCCTAAAACTCCAGGGAACCAGAAAGTCAAGTGCACCTTCACAGTTATGGCTGTGCGCTGGGATTTTATGTTGCTCTCAGTGCCTCTGAAAGTTTCCAAGACAGGACCAAAGGTTTCAGCTTAGCCTAGAACAATCTCTACACCCACTTTGGTCTGGCTGCCCGAGAATGTCCAGGGCTGAGGAAGTCCTGGTGCTCTGTTGCTCGCAGGGAAAGCCCTAAGTGACACTTTATTGACGTGGATCCCTGCAGGACACTAATCAGCCTCCTGTTAGAACTTTAGACATGAGTGTCCTCAGAATCTTTGAAAAAATCTGGAGGTCTCTAAGAGTGAAACGGGTGAAAATCTCTATCCTCTACCCCTTTGGATTTGGGGCTGAGTTTGTTCTAAATGGATCTGAAACACAGCCCCACCTACTTTGTTGTTTAGTTTGCTTCAAGTTGGAGGAGGGGGACAGAGGTCATTTAGTTCCTCAGAAGGATACCAAATTATTAGTGATAATTACAAACTCATTCAACAGAGAAACTATTTATAGTCGACTTTATCATGAGAAAGATTTCAGACGTGGCAGCTCTAATTTAATCAAAATGTTTTTTTTTTTAAAATAAATAAATAAATAAACCTCTTTTTTTGGTTACTATTTCTTCAATTTTTTATCCTGTAATGTATCAGACTCTTTGGAAGTTAAAGTTATTTAACTTCATAAAGTGACTCAATAACTTCTATAAGGTTTTTTTCAACCAACATTGAAAAATATCTTTTTTTTCTTTCATAGTTTTCTTGTTTACAAAAATACTCATCACAAAACTTCCGGAAATGCAGAATACTATAAAGAGGAAAATAAAGATTTCTTATAATTCCACCAGACTTTTAAATATATAGAATCACGTATAATTTTTTTAAATGAAGTTTGCTGAGTTTTTTTAAACATCCTCTTTCACTTAATATATTGTGAACATCTTCACATATTAATAACTACATATGTACCATATTTTTGTTTTTCTTAAGTTTCACGTTTATCTCAATACATTTTTACATACGCAAGTGTCTTTGCCTGCTTGGGCTGCCATAACAAAATACCATAGACTGGGTGTCTTAAACAACAGAAATTTATTTCTCACAGTTTTGGAGGCTGGAAAGTCCAAGATCAAGGTACTAGCAAGACGTTTAATTTCTGAAGCCTCTTCTCCTGGCTTGTACGTGGTTGCCGTCTTGCTGTGTACTCACATGATCTCTTTGGGCTTGTGGAGGGACAAAGGGGGACAGATAGAGACCTCAAAAGCTCTTTAGTGTCTCTTCTTATAAGTGCACTAATCCTATCAGGTCCGAGTTCCACCTTTATGACCTCATTTAACCTTCATCACCTCCTTAAAGGTCCTATCTCCAGTACAGTCATGTTGAGGATTAGCGTTGACATATAGAGTTTGGGGGGTGGGGAGTTCACAATTCAGTCCATAGCATTATTTTTTAACGAGAATAAAGCTTTATATGTAATATTTTATTTATATGTCTACACGCACAAATTCAAAGAAACAAAGGATTTTGTTGGGTAATTTAGGCAAATGAATTCTATGGTCGTTGGAATTTGTTTTCTGCTGGAACATGAGCTCCACGTGAGCAAAGATTTTTTATCTTTTCTAGTCATTGCTGAATTCTTACATCTGTAACAGTGAGGAGCACATAACTGGTGTTCAATTTTTACTGGATGATTGAATGTTTTTCTTTTTGGGGGAGGGAGGCAGTATCAGAGCTTAGTAGCCCCAGGTTATTGAGACTGAGAGCCTTGATTGAACATCAGCTGTCACTTGTTAGTTCTTTTACCTTGGACAAACTTCTTAAGTGCTTTGTGCCACAGGTTTTTCTTCTGCAAAATGGGTATTCTAGGGTTGTTGTAAGGATGAAACGAATTAGTAAGTTTAAACCATGTGGGATAGTATCTAATATGTTGTGGGTAGAAATAGAGACCTTTAAGTCATTTACATTTATGGTTAATTCTCCTTTTTATATATATATTCATAGCCCAAACAAATATCCTGTTCAGTTGGTAATATGCAATTCTTTTTGCCTTTGCTTTTCAGGAAGAAATATTGAGGATAGAGGTCAAATGGCCTGTAAATGTGATCGCTAAGGGCTGTCTGCCACTGTAATATTCAAAGTAAGACAATATGTTTGCAATTCTCCGCAATTGTTTATTTGGATTTTTATATTCTCTATTTAATCGGTGGTTTACAAGCTACGAACTTAAGTTGAGCCCCTATTTTTATTAGCTATAAAATAACTAATTTGTAGAAATATTTATCTTTTGGTTCCCGTTATGATTTTTAAGAATATAAATTTAGTCTCATTTAGTCATTTGGTATTTTCATAGGCAATGGAAGCTAAAGAACAGCTATTAACATGCAGAATCCCCTAAATTTTGGATGAAAAGGGGATCATTAAGAATCACTGCTTTAGTGGCTCCATAGATGAGGAAACTCTTGTAACTGTATATTAATATATTGTAAATCTTGATCTCTTAATCAAAACTGTAGAGAATCTCCCTCCTGGGTTTATCTAAAATTGTGAAAACCAAAGCTCCACCTTTGGCTCAGCGGGGTGGGATGGCCGGGCGTCCATCCGAAGATAAACTACAACTCCCAGGATTCCCGCGCGGGAGCTTCTGGGAGTTGTAGTTCATTCTACATTTCAGGCGGCCCCGGCGCCCACACCTCCTTCGGCGCCCTTGCTCGGCAACCCAAGCCCTGGGCTCCCGCTTGGGATTCGTACGCCGCGTGGTCGTCTCTTGGGAATTTTTCTTGCTTTGTCACTTTTTTGTTTCTCGCTGTCATTTTTCTCTCGTTTTCTCTGTTCCCTCATTGTTACGCACGCCCAAAGACTACTCCTCGGAGAAGCGTCAATACGGAGGTGGAGCAGGGAATCAAGTATCAACCCGGAAGAAGTGACCCAGGAAGTGAAAGCGGTTCCGTGTCTGTCGGGATGAACCGCAGCGGGTTACAGAAGGTTCCGACCTCAGTAAGGGAAGCCAACACTTTTCTTCTTTATTTTAGGTACTCACAATTCACTTCTGTTTTATAATCTTAAAAAGTCT